TATAGCTACTTCCTCATCCGTGAAATGCAGAACATTTGACAGAAAGCTTCGCTCGAGGCTCTTCTCCTTGGAGAGACGGGACCTCTTTGCCGAAGCGCTTCAACGGAGTGACCAGGAGACCTCCTCTGACCAGCTGGTGTTGCCTGCCGGTAAACGAATCTGCCAGCCTTTGTGGCCAACAGTCCTGTGTTTATTTGCTTGTATGCATGTAGTGTATGTGTGTTTGTGTGTGGTGTAAAATAGGGGACTGACTTCCATCAAGGATTTGGAATACCTAATAAATGCTTATTGGAGCATTTTCTGTTTCTTTTTCTCAGAAGGAAGGGCTTGAAGGAACGAAGCTGAAGCGGATCTCCTGGTTCAATCACCCTCCTAAGACGCGTTGAACTACAGAGGATCCAGCCCAGTTTCACCCTCATCAGCGCGTGGTGAGAATGCAGGCAGAATCTCGGGCACCTCCCTCCTTCCAAGGGTTTTCTTTCCTGCTGGAGATTTGCAATGCAAACTCTCCCCCTCTCCAAGGTTTTTCTCAGGAAATGGGGCGTGAAGGGCTCCCCCAGATCCCACCCTCTTTCCTGGGGATCCTGGATTTGTTCCTGGGGGTAGGACAATTGATCTAGAGCTCTGCTTCCCCACTGCCTCTTACGTGCATCGAAAGGGGTTGTTGGGGAACATGGGATTCACGCTTACCCACCCCCAGGACCCAGAAGATTGAACTTGCATGCGCCTCTCCCTTCTCCAGCCCGGGAACCCTCTGCCTCCCTTTGCATGGGAATAGGGCCCTGCTCACCCAGGGCCTCCTCTGGATCCCTTCCCTGCAAGACTTTCATGCAGCCTGTTACCTCCTGTGAAGCTCAAAGGGTTAAAGACAGAGCGGGCAGCTTCCTAGAGAGGCAAGAGGTAGTGATGTCACTCCTTTTCCCACCCTCCACTGGAAAGCCACTAGTGGCCGGTGCCCTCCAGTGGCCCAATGCTGAGGTGCACGGTGCTCTCCTCTCCTTGCAGAGGGAGCCCCCTGGTGGGTTCTGTGTGCAATGCAGTACCTCATGAAAAGAGGGGATAAAGGGTGTTATTTCCATGGGGCCAGGAGGAAAGGGGCTGTGGTGTCCCCCTGATTAGGAGGCCTTCTCCATCCAGCTGCTTTTGACAACTGTAGAACATCTCCAAGCTTCCATTTTTAAGAGAGGTTCTGGAG